CCCAGGGGCGGGTTCGCCCCCCGGCCAGCGGGTACGTGGCCATGTCGGCGCAGCGGCTGTCGCGTGAGCAGCGGGATAAGACATCACCCCCGCTTGGCCTTGCTCTAGTTCTGTCCAGCATCCCGGGGCACTTCCCTGGCACCAGCTAACCGCCCGTCCCCCGCAGCGAGGGGGGGCTGAGGGGCAGAGCGGTGAACTCACCGGCACTCAGCACGCGAGCGGCGAAGCTGCAAACCGAACCCCGGAATCCTGGCTCCCAGGCCAATAACCACTAGGCCACACTCCCCTCTGCCCGTCAGGAATAGAGCCCAGGAATCCTGACGGCTCCTTCCCTGTGGGTGTCCCTGTGCTACATTCTCCCCCCAGCCCGGCTCTCGCCCTGGCTGGTTGGAGGGTTTAGCCAGGTCCCTGGAGCGCCCTGGCAGGATGTGCTCTGTACAGCTCTGCCTTGCTCAGGACCTGGGATAAGCCCTCGAGGGGGTGGGGCCCTGAGGAGGGGCGGCCGGGTCCTAGGCGCTCACCGGTCATAGATGAGGAAGTCGTCTTTATCCCCGTCCAGGATCTGCCAGACGTCCGGCTCCAGGAGCTCCTGCTGGTAAACGGGGACGCCCTTCGGGGCCTGGCGCTTCAGCTGCCAGTACATGGCCCTGGAGAGCGCCGCCTTCTCGTTCACGATCATGTAGCTGATGTCTGTCAGCCCGTCCCGGGACAGCTTCGCCCGCAAGCCACCGAGGCTGGGGGGGGATGAGGGTGAGGCACAGGGCCACGGGGTCTGCCTCTTGCTAATGCTCTGTGGCACAACCCCCCCCCCGCCCCACCTGGCACCTCCAGCACATGCACCAGAGAGGAAGGACATGGCATTGCCCCGCATTGCTGCCCCAGGGAACGAAAGGGGTCCCCGGGCCTCCCCATAGCGTCTGCCAGCAAAGGGGTCAGGTATAATTCGCGCTGTTTGCTCCCACTCCCCTGGGGCCGGGCTAGCTCCGTCTCCTGCCCTCCCGGCGCCTCTGTGCAGTGCTCGGCCCCGCCCCGGCTCACCTGTGGGCTTGCTTCAGGCAGAACTGTCAGCTGGCTTTCAGCAGCGCCACCACCGTCACCCGCCCCAGCTCCCTTTTCATCGGGGCCGTCCCGTTGATCGCCCACTGTGGAGCCGGCTGGCAGATCCGGGTCTTGTTCTCGGCCACGTCCTCCGGCGTGGCCACCACCAGCCCCAGCAGGGTGGCCATGGCTAGGGCAGCAAGCCCCATCCTCGCCGGCCCGCTCCCAAGCCTGGGGAGCAAGAGGCGTGTTAGAGATGGGGGGGCGTCGCTCTTGCACAAGCAGAAGGGCCGCAGCTGAGACACATGCAGCCGTGTTTCCCCCAGCAGAGCTCCAGGGTAGCTCAGACACGCACTCTGAAATGCAGCCACCTCTGGGGTGGAACACAGCCCCTGCGATCCACAGCAGTGCCCCTCAGCAGAAGGGGAGAATTCCACAGCCAGAGGAAAGAGAAGAGTCTAATTCCCCGTCGGCTTGGCCCCCTCAGGCAAACACTCCTCCTCTTAGGGACTGCTGGGGAATCTCTACATTAATTCTCAGCCAAAATACAGCCTCTCCAGCAGCGCAACACCCTCTCATGCCAGGCCAGGGCATTGAAGTCAACACCAACTCCACAGAGAGGCCCTTGCTGTATCAGCCCTCTTTGGGCTGATAGTCCCAGTCGCTTGTAACCCAGCTGATGTCAGTGAGGTGTAATCTATCTTTAAAGGACCCTGATATTTTAAAAAATATATTAGCAAGTTACTTGACTATATAAAATCCACTGGCAGGGAGTCCCACAAGTTAACGTGCAGGTATCATAAAGAAACACTCTGGCTACCAGCCACGGAAAAACTTGCCAGCCGTCTACACTGGCCGCTTGAATTTGCGCAAGAACACTGACGATCTCATATAAGATTGTCAGTGTTCTTGCACAAACACTATGCTGCTCCCGTTCAGGAAAAAGCCCTCTTGCGCAAATGTATTTTGAGCTAAAAACTGTTTTGCGCAAAAAAGCCCCGATGGCGAAAATGGCGATCGGGGCTTTCTTGCGCAAAACCGCGTCTAGATTGGCACGGACGCTTTTCCGCAAAAAGTGCTTTTGCGCAAAAGCGTCCTGCCAATCTAGACGCTCTTTTCCGCAAATGCTTTTAACGGAAAAACTTCTCCGTTAAAAGCATTTGTGGAAAATCATGCCAGTCTAGATGCAGCCAATCTGTTCTCTGGGGATCCTGCCGGAGACCTAGAGATCCACAGATTATCAACCCCTTTCTTCCCTCACCCCATACACAGTTGTTCAGGGGTGGAGAGAAAGTTTCCATTTCCAAACAAAACCCGATTGACCCAGGGCCAGGCCCCCTGCTCGCACTGTCGATGTTGTTGTGAAGGCTCAGCTGAGCCCATTGGCACAAACGCGCCGCCATTGTCTATTATAGTGGCAAGACTGTCCCTGTGTGCACCAGCTAAAAGCACGAGGTGGTTTTGGCAACGTTTGCCTGGCAGCACAGAGCTGCTTTGACTTTCAGGGGCGCAATGCAAACGGGAGGCTGTCCAATGCACTGCTTGAATGCAGGGCAGTGTTCGAATGGCTCGCCCATGGCAACAGGACTCTTGGCTTCTAGTCCAGTCTCCAGAAGGTGAGTGCGGTCTAGTGGTTAGATCAGGGACCTTGACATCAGGATTCCTGGAGTTTGCTCCAAATCCTGCCAGTGACTTGTTATGTGACCTTGGGTAGATCTCTTGGCTTACCTGTTGTCACGTTAGGGTGCCAATGACAGGCCGTCGTGCCTCAGTTTCCCACCTGTGAAATGGAAGCAAATGAACGAATGCCAGTAATGCCGTTGAAAGTCACAGCACGCAGGAAGCGCAAGGTACACAAAGCCGTTCCAAGCAAACTGTCCTTCCTGGCCCCTGGGACGCCAGCCCAGAGCGGACAGGCTCGTCCCAAGGCCTTTAACCCAGTAATGACCATTTCCCGCACACAGCTCCTCCCGAGCGTGCGCCCGGCCCCTGGTGTGTAAAGCTGCCCCGTCATCCTCCCCGTCAGCCCTTCATGCCAGTGAATGTGGGCAGCTACCGCTCGCGGACTGAGTCGGCTGCGATTTCACACAGCCAGCCGGCCACAACCGGGAGCACCAGTCCCCAGACGCAGGTGCATCCGCAGCACATTATTGTCTGACAGTTACTATAAGTGTGTGTGTGTGTGGTGGTGTGTGGGTGTTGTGGTGTATGTGTTGTGGGTGGGTGTGTTGTGGTGTATGTGTTGTGGGTGGGTGTTGTGGTGTATGTGTATGTGTGGTGTGTGTGTGCATGTGTGTTGTGTATACATGTGTGTGTTTTGTGGGTGCATGTGGGTAAATGTGTTGTGTGCCTGTGGTGTGTGTGCCCTGAGTATGCATGTGTGTTTTGTGTGGGTGCATGCGTTGTGTGAGTGTTGTGTGTGCTGTGCATACGCGTGTGTTGTGCGTGTTTGTGTATGGGTAAATGTGTTGTGCGGGTGTGGTGTGTGCTGTGTGGGTGCATATGTTGGTCCATGTGCTGTGTGTGTTTTGTGTATGTGTGTGTTGTTTTGTGTGTGTGCTGCTGCACTGTGCAAACACACTGAATGCAGAGCCCGTTAGTCACCCCAGCCTCGGCTGATGTGACCCCCCCCGGACACTGGCCTGAGACCAGAGACCACTTGTCCGAACGTCCCTTTTGTACCAATTCCCTGCTGGCCTCGCGATGCCCCAAACCCTTCCCCGGCCCCACGGCCCCCCAAGCCACGGCCTGTCCCGCGCCGCCCCTGCCTCATCCCAGCAGAACTCAGTGCACCTCCCGGAGCCGGTCCCCCGCCCCTCAGCCCCCCGCACGGAAACAGACCAGATACTCTGCCTTCTGGCCGCAGTCCGGTGCCGCAGTGGCCGGGGCTCACCCTGCGCTCTCCTCCCCGCTGCCCCAGCCCCGGCCTCCTTTTATCTCCTCCCCAGCTCCGCCCAGGAGAGAGGCAGGGGGCTGGGGCTGGCTGCAGAGCCGCCAGGCAGGGCCTTTACTGGTGCCAGCTACCAGCCCCCTCCATGTTCACTCCAGGGTCCCTCCCAGGCGCCCCCAGCAGCTGGGCCTGGCAGTCAGAGCCAGCTCCTCTGGCATAGAGCCCCTCCCAGCTGCGCAGCTGGGAAAAAACAAAATCCCGCTTTAAAGGCTGCTAATTAAATACCCCCGGGCTGAGAGGGGACCAGCTGGCCCGTCCGGGGGTAGGGGTGTCCCGGGTAACACACAAGACAGCCCAACGCATCAGCGGGACACCACCTCCCCCTTAAACAGCTGCTGTGGTTCGCTCAGCGGTGGTGGGGGACAGGATCCCTGGATGCAGCTTGTACCGGGCTCGGCTCTCGCCCAGGCTGGGGAAAAAAAGGTCTGTTGGCACTTTGCTGGGCGTGGCTGGCATGGTCTGCCTGGCCAGGCTGCACGACAGGGATCTCTGCCCTCAGGCCCGGTGCAGGAAAACTGGAGCGCTGCTAAGGCGTGGGCGCTGGTTTGGCCCAGCCCTGCTCAGACACACGCCTGCCCGCTGGGGAAGACGCTACTAGCAGGGAGGAGACCAGCTGGCTAGGAGAAGCCCCAGCCCAGTGACAGAGCCGTCCGTAGGTTCGACGGGGCCCTCCGCAGTGCTGTTGAACGGGTGCCCCTGTACCCGATGGCAGCGGGGAGAGGGGGAAGACGATTTTGTAGAGGTGTGATTTTATAACCTCCCGCAACACGCTAATGAACTATTTTAAAGCAAATGCTAAACTAAGGTCCTGTCGGCTTAACACCAGGGCTGCGCAACTTTGGAAGCCCCGGGGGCCGCAGTGATACTCCCAGCCCATGCCAAGGGCCTCAACTTAAGTGTGGTTGCATAGACATGCAAATATATATGCAAACATATGCAAATAGCTTCTTTCACATGGATGGGCATGAATACAAAAATGAAGGCAAGACTACACAACACGCAGGCCCCAGTTCAGTCAGTCCTGCGGAGGAAGCAGCGCCACAGAACAGGGACAGGAAGAGGACGACATTAAGACCCACATTTTCAGGTGCCCCACACCACTGTATTCTGTGCATGGGGAAGGACGGCACTGCCTAGGGACCAGGTAGGCTGAAGGCCTGGGGGGGGGACTCAGGCCTGGCAACACGACTCACAGCACAGTTCTGAGGTCTGTTTCCCCATCTGCACCAGAAGGATCTCAGAAGAGCCTCGCTCTTCCCCTATTCCGGTAGGGAAACTGAGGCAGGGGGGCTGTGAGCTGTCCCACGAGCCGTGGCCCAGAGAGAGGATTAGAACGTGGATCTGCTGCTGCTCCTACTAGCTCCATGACCAGCCGCCTTCCTTAGGCAGCCTGACTTAAACCCGGCCCTGGTGCTCCTCCCCGGCGGGGGAATTCAGCGAGGGAGCGCCCCGGGGCCACCGAACAATGGCGGCGCATGGGACGAGAGGGGGAAGCTGCCGCCTGGCCGCTGGGAAAGGGAAGCACACGGTGACCTCTCAGCAAATATTTGAGCAGCTATTGCAGGGGGCTCTGCAAAACCACCGGGAGCGGGGGAAGGGCCCGGCTGCAAAGGCAAACAGAGCCTGGGCAAGGGGCAGGGGTCCAAGGCGAGGGGCGGGGAGGGGATGGCGGCGCATGGGACGAGAGGGGGAAGCTGCCGCCTGGCCGCTGGGAAAGGGAAGCACACGGTGACCTCTCAGCAAATATTTGAGCAGCTATTGCAGGGGGCTCTGCAAAACCACCGGGAGCGGGGGAAGGGCCCGGCTGCAAAGGCAAACAGAGCCTGGGCAAGGGGCAGGGGTCCAAGGCGAGGGGCGGGGAGGGGGGTGTGACG